GGCGAGTCTCGAACCCGCAGGCTCAGGCAATCCACTCACCTCAGCCTCCCAAAGGCGCGGAATTACAGGCTGAGCCACCCGAGCCCGGCTAGAATGTTCTCTTTTAAATGTGCTTGATGTACATCATGCACAACTGTTTTGCACCATGTAAACTTTGCATTTTGAAGTACAGACTATGAGAATGTATATGATTTTATTGCTTTGAGTTTTCCCCCAAGAAAATAAGGAATTCTAAATGGTTCTTTGTGGTCCTAATTCATGTAAACAGTTTCATCTTTAATTATTTATAAACATTGAGTCTTGATGGAATTCAGAATCCTGTTGTGCTTGGATTTATTCCCTCCTAAAGTGGCACATGAAATCAGTACATTTTTTAATTTAATGGGTAACATTTAACTTAATTTAGAACTTGTAGCACTTCTTCAGAAAAACAAATTTGTTTTTCAGTGCCACAGAACCACAGCTAGAAATCTCTGGTTATTTTGTTCTAACGTTTTTCAACTGACTGACTTGGAAAAGAAAAAAATAAAACACTTATTTGAACTTTTAAATATTGGAGTGAAAGAGATTAATCATTTAAAATGTTTTACTTGGCTGGGCGTGGTGACTCAAGCCTGTAATCCTAGCACTTTGGGAGGTCGAGGCAAGAGGATTGCCTGAGCCCAGGGGTTTGAGACCAACCTGGGCAACTTCGTGAGACCTCATCTCTACAATAAAAAATTAAAAAAAAAAAAATTAGCCGGGCATGGTAGCCTGTGCCTGTACTTCCGACTCCTTGGAAAGCTGAGGTAAGGATCACCAGAGCCCAGTGGGTCAACACTGGGGTGGCTGTGAGTGTGCCACCGCACATTCCAGCCTGGGCAACGGAGTGAGACTCCAACCAAAAAAAAAGTTTTACTTTGGGGACAGCGTAAGTGACACTTGCCAGTGTTTCAGGACAACCAACCCTGTGGACAAGGGAGGAGAAATTCTGAATTCCAGGGTCCAAGGTCCCTTGTGACGGGGAGGCTCCAGAGTGCGCGCCCATGCTGTAAGCACCCCAGGACTCAGGCATGCTCGCTGAGGGAGGGTACAGGTCATCTTCCCGGCACGCCTGCCCCTGGACCCCTGCTCTGAGTGGGTGGGGATGCTGTGAGCACAGAAAGGATGGGACTCCTTGTGGGAACCTCCCCAGCTGCGGGTGTGGTCCGTCCCACCAGATGCCCAGCCTCTGGCTTTCTCCCTGGGAAGCTCCTTGTGTTTCACCTTCTGCAGGTTCCATGTGCTCTTTTCCCTGACCCAGTTGTTGAGTCCTCAGTTTCAGTGTCTCTGCCACTGATGCCTTGGGTTTATCTTTAAATGGTTGTGGCCCAGAGCCTTCGTGTTACTGCCAGTTGACAACTTACTCTTTTTCAAGTACCTTTTGTAGGCCTTTGTTTTGTGGTTTCTTTTTCTCAAAATATTTTTGTAGCCTGTTATGGTTCTCTCTCCAAATGTATAAATAGCATTTTTATATGTAAATGTCTTACATGAAAATTTTGTGCCACTCTTTGAGCGTTTCTTTTATTTAATAAATCTGTTGACTTAATATTGCTTCTTGTACTTCATAAGCAACATATTAGTGCTATTGCATTAATTTAGGAAATAGGAATGAGTCCTAAAGCATTGCTTTGCAGACATTGTAAGGCATTGTCTTATGTGCTTGCATCTGTATGCGTTCACACTAATGTGTCCCTCTCTAAGCCTTGTCAGATGTTTTGCAGTTGTTTTTCCAACATTCTGATATTTGGCTGGAGTTCCTGAGGATGGCGGGAATCTACCCGAAAGTCCTTTTACTTACCCTTTTTTTATTTGACACCAAATGTGTTTTTTTTCTAGCTCCTTTATTGCCTGAACCAGTTATTTGTTAAAATAACTTTGAGTGAATTTCATTTAATTTATTCCCAAATATCTTTTTGCCTTATTTATTCATTCATAATTAGTAAATTGACTGTTTTCCTGTCTGACTGTACCTTACTAATGTCCTTAAAGAGGAAATCATGAAGTGCTTTGGGGTGAGTCCCTCTAACCACCACTCACAGGTCCTGGCCTCACCTGTCCATCGTAGCCTGTATGTCACGAGAGGCCGCTGCTATGCTCAGGGTTTTTGGCTCTCTTGGACTGATCCCATGTGCTATTTTTTCCTTTTAATTTAATTACTTTTAGTTACATAGTTGTGAATCTGGCTCAGGTTTTGTAAATCTTGTGTTTCAGAACTGGTGCACTGATTTGGTTTGCTTGGTTCTCAGGGCCACAGAAGGATGGTATGCTGCTCGGCGTGGAGTGAAGACCATCCCATGTGCAATCTGTTCACCTGCGGGTTTGACCGGCAAGCCATTGGTTGGAACATCAACATCCCTGCACTGCTGCAAGAAAAATAAGGACGCCAGCGCTCCGTGGTTTCGTTTGCCAGCGCAGACCTTTGACTGGCGCAGACTCGTCTGCGTCTTATCAGCCATTTTCGTGAGAGTTTGGCCCTGGGAAAGGGTGCCTTGTGTATGTTCTTTTCACATCGTGCCCAGCCTGCATGAAATGTACAGAAAACTGGTCATATTTTCATTTTTGTCTTGCGTCTATATATTGGCATCTTCTGATCAGTGGAAGTGGTGAAGCTCCCTCCCACGTAGCTCATAACATGCTTGTGAGGTGTTGACGGTTGACAGATGAGCAGTAGGGCATTACATTTGTGTGAATTAAATGTGAACCTATGTACTTATTTGAGGCATAAGCAGTCTGTTGCATTTTCTGGAATAATTATGCACATCTACCTTGTGCTGGGAAGATTGTGGAGCTGCGTTTGCATTGGCTGGTGGCCGGCAGGAATGATCAAGGCTTCGTGTTTACCTCCGTGTGAAGTTTAGCATGTGCTAATTCAGCTTCAGCTGTCATTTCTGTTACAGTTCTGTAGACATTATCTGAAGTTTAGCAGTTAAAAAAATTGCACAGAATGTTGAGTTTGCAACATTTGAAGTTTCTTTAGAAAAGAAAAGGTTTCTGCTCTTTTTATAGAAAATCATTTCAATCTCCTGAGTTCTCATACTTGTGACTTCTAAAGTAGGGATTCTAATCACTGATTTCAAATATTAAGTAAAATATAAAGCACTTTAGTTTGTACCTGTGGTTATAAACAGTTACTAGAAGTTTCAGATGACTTATCCATTGAATGTGACTTGACCTTGACAAGAAGGCCCTGCCACCAAAGCTCCACATCTTTGCTTGCATTCCTTCTGGATGGGCTCACTCCCTCGGTGGTGTTTGAGAGCCAACGGCACTACCTCAGAGATGGGTATGTGGGAAATTTTGGGTCTCACTGTTGCCTGGCTAGAGCACTTTGATTTATAGCTGGAATACTCAACCCACTTCAGAAGGCAGGAAAGACAGTCCCACCAAATGTGTCCTGGAGGCACAGGCTCTCCAGTTGGGCTTGTTCAGGGGACAGCCGTGACAGGCAGTTCACAGGTGGCCAGACGCTTTCCTCTCAAGTGGCTGGGGCACCTCTCAGTGCCAGTCCTGCTGCTGTGTGTGGGAGCCTGTTGTTCTTGCCTTCTCAGAAGTTCTGTTCATCTGGCATTTGTGTTGTAAGTTAATGTTTCTTAGTTGCAGTTTGGATAAAGAGACATCTCAGTCACTGCCCCTCGTCTTTTAGTTCTTTGAATATGTCCAGTTAGAGGCTGATCACTTGAGAGACGCAGGAAAGTGATATTTAGGCCGGTCTGGTGGCACCCTCAGTTCTTTGTGTGTTCTCCCTGTCGTGGCGGTGTGTGAGGGCGCCCTGCTGGAAGCCGGCAGATAGCTGCTTGGTTGGGCACGGGAGAATGGAGAGCATCCAGACTGCCTTTCGGTGGAGCTTACGGAGAGTGGGAAGCCCCTCGCCACGCGGGGCGTCCCGCAGGAGCAGCTCTTGGGAGCTTCAGATTGTGTCCTCCGGGATGGTTCTGAGATGACTGACGTCCTGGGAGAGAACAGCCAGTGATGGCGTACTACAGATCTGAGGTGGCCAAGGGACACACAACAAATAGAGTCATTTTATTTGGAAAGCTCACTAATGTGTTGTATTTTTAAGTGATGTTTTTACCTGACTGCACCGTTTGAGAACTGAGTCAGGCTGGTTAGAATGTCAAGTTTCAGCTCCAGATGTCCTGAGTGAATTTGTGGATTGGGGTGCTGTGTTGACCAGGTTTTTTTGTGGCCTGGTTTCTCCTCACAGTGAGAGATCTGGTTGCCAGACCCCTCCCTCCACTGCACACGCAGGGGTGTGAGCACAGGGTGACTTCTGGGTGAGCTGCACAGGCCACATGCTTGGGGTCCTGGCAGTTTAATTTGGATGTCTGGGTGTCACAGAATGATGGTTAGGAATGTTGAAAAACATACATGCACAGCTAAGTCAAACTTACGAACCAGGTCTCTGCCAGGTTGAGAAATTTTGAAGCTTTTACAGATACATATTCCTGGTGGCCCTTGAGTTCTGGGCAGACTAGTGACAGTCACTGCCACAGCTGCTCACCTTTCTCCCAAACTGGAGGGACCAGCCTCTGACTCCAGGAGCAAGGCTCCTCACTCATTCCCATAAGGGCACAGACCCTTTTGGTGCTCCAGCAGGGTTCTCAGGGCAGGGCACACCTTCCTGTTGACTGCTGTGTCGTCTTCCTCTGTGATCCCATCCCACTGCTGCTGCGGCCGTGAGTGCTAGTCAGGAGTCCTAGAGAAGATGGGTTGGTGCGTGTGCACGTGTGTGTGCTCCTATGTGCGTGTGTGGCCAAATAAGTCATGCTGTCAGCCCCATGTCATCTTGTATGAAATCGTGTTTGGAAGTGGGAACGGTTTTGTGTCCTGTATGCTGATGTGTCCAGAATTTCATTTAATAATGGAAGGAAAATACAGAACTGAAAAATATGTATTGGTACAGAATTTCATAAGAGATATATTGTTGGGCAAAGCAACCCTCTTTTTCTCAACCACTGCTCATCAGTTTCTGTAGAGTCAAAAATTCTGTACATATTTTGGAATTTGAAGAATTCTGTGTAAATCATTTGTTCCTTAAATCTGTGAAAAATAAGTTTCTTTGGCGGAAAAAGTATGCATTTGTAAGTGTTCTGTGGAATCAGTTGTTTTTATTGTATTGGTGTAATTGTCTCTAAGTGTTCAGTGTCTTCAATGCAATACGAAATTCATTAAAACATCCATGTTCCATAATTGCTATTGTAAAAGTTGTGTGTTATTGGGAGTCTCTCATTTTTTATTGTTTTTACTTTTTCATGTTTTGCTTTGGTGAAACTTTGTTAATGGCTATGTAAACATCACAGTGACCTAGAAATTGAACAAGTATAGTATTACTCATTTGGAAATTTTTAATTTCGGTCTTAAAAAATCAGTTGAATTGTATTTAATGCAGACATTAAATGAGACATAATTATGCTTCTTCGTCCCCCATCACCACTCCAAAAGTTTCTAGAAGGGTTAGTTCACAATTTGACATAGTATAAGCTTTTGGTAAGGTTCCTCAGAGTGTCCTAAAATGCTTGTACTGTTCTTATCACAGCGAGCTTATTTGAAAGAAAAAAAATTGCAGAAGTAGGAAGTAGGCACCATTTTCTGTGAGAGGGTACAAATCAGGGTAGGCAGTGCCCGCTTAAACACGGTCATATTCTAGCCCAAGTGCACAAAGCACTATGATTGTTTCAGAAATCCTCAGGCAGTGTTAAAGGCACTGCTGGATAGTCTCCTGCCTGGGAAGCACAGCTCCTTCTTCAGACTAGTGAGGCTTGTGGCCTGAGTTGAGAGGCACTGGGGGTACGTTCAGACTCCAAAAGGTACACGTTTCTTACTGGTTACTTGACTCTCTTACCTTACTCCTCAAATAGCATTGACTATGGCCCGAATTTCATACTTTCATCTTCAACTAAAAGTTCATGCTGCATTAGTCTAAAGAATCAAGAACAAAAGACTATGATTTTAGCAAAACACTTGCTGTGATACCAATCTCCATTATTTGCCATAGATTTTCAGTTTTCCTCTAATAACTTAGAATTAAAAAAAAAATTATTCCAAAATTTGGGAACACCTCAATTGTTATATGCAGCATATAAAACATAGCTTACATTACAGCAGGAAGAAGCTGGGCATTAAATCGCATAAAAGTCTTGTATAATTGAAAATTATCCTGCGCCTTGGGAGGCTGAGGTGAGTGAATTGCCTGAGCCTGTGGGTTCGAGACCTCATCTCTACAATAAAAATCAAAAATCAGCCGGGGGTGGTAGCGCACGCCTGTAGTTCCAGCTACTTGGAAGGCTGAGGCGGAAGGCTCTCCGGAGCCCAGCAGGTCGAGGCTGCGGTGGCCGGGAGCGGCCACTGCACTCCAGTCTTGGTGACGGAGTGAGACTCCAACTCAAAAAAAAAAATCTTTGGGTAAGTGGGTTTTGACCAAAATGAAAGTAGATGAAACAGACCTTTGGAGCTGTGAGGACTCTGTGCGAAAGATACAGGAGCCGCTTCCTGGGGCCTCTTGGTGGTTTGTGGGCTGCGATGGAGGAGCGTGAGGGGTGGTCTGTCAAGGAGGCCTTTCTGCAGGGCAAAGGTTAGTGAAGGCGTCCGGAAAGTTGCAGGAACCAGGAAGTTCTGGGTGGGGAGAGCTTATGTGTTTCAGGATCCGAGACCATGGCGGGGAGCCCTGGCGGGCGGCGTGGGCGTGATGCAGGCACTGTCTCAGGCTCTGGGCGAGCGTGTGGGCTTCATTCTCTGCCCTGGCTTCCTGTGGAGGTGGACTGCGGAGGCTGAGGCTCAGAAGCAGGGAGACCGGACAGTCATCCCGGTGAGAGGCGTGGGCTGCCCTGGCTATGGTGGTGGCAGGAGGATGGATTTGAAATTGCTGGGCACCCTGGCTCATGCCTGTCATCTCCAGCACTTCGGGAGGCTGAGGCAGGAGGATTGCTTGAGCTCAGGAGTTCGAGATCAGCCTGGACAACATAGTGAGACCTTGCCTCCATAAAAAAATAAAAAATTAGCCAGGCATGGTGGCGTATCTGTAGTTCCAGCTACTCGGGAGGTTGTGGCAGAAGGATCGCCTGAGCCTAGGAGGCCGAGGCTGCAGTGAGCTGGGATCGTGCCGCTGCACTCCATCCTGGGCCACAGATGGAGACCCCAACTAAAAACAAAACTAGCCCCTCCCAACCCAGACAGTTCTTGCTGGAAGGAAGGACTCTGTCCTGCAACTCAGAATACATTTTCGAAAAACTCTGCTGACTCTGTAGACATTGCTTAGTGTACTCAAAAGATGTTTTGAGCACTGACAACCTGAAGGAACGATCCGCAGTGTGTCAGGAAATTTCAGTTACAGTTCAGAGAGACGTTAAGTTACCTTGGCTGAGTGTATCTGCCACCTGTGCTGATGGGCATCTTGTCCCCCTACTCCACAGACACAGCACCCTCTCACTGGGTGCCGGTTCCTCTCTCACTGCGGAATGCTGTGGGAACATTCACTTCCCAGTACGTGAGGCAGG